TTTCCCTCTCTCTATCCCCGTATCTATCCCTCAGTCCATTTAGCCTCTGCCCCTCAGCCTGTCCCTGCACGCCCCTCTAGCTGTCCCGCTGTCTCTCCATCCATTTGTGGCTCTCCCGCTGCGATCTCGCTCAGTCCGTGTATAGTGCCCCAGCTCCCTCGTCCCGCTGTTCCTGTGTCTGGCCGGCCCTCCCTCTGTGAGTGGCAGTGCTGCCAGCCAATCGCCAGCCGGAGACGGTGCAGCGGGTGTCTCTGTGTGTGTGTGTTGACTGGGGAGGGGCCATAAGTCAAGACAAGAAGGGGGCCAGCTCAGCACAACGGCTGGGAGGAGGAGCTGGGCACCGGGACTCCTGGGTTCTAGCCCAGATCTGGGAGAGAAGGGCTGTAGTGTGCTGGGAAGGGGGGTGTCTCGGTGCCTGGACTGCTGGGTTCTAGCCCAGTTTGGGGGAGGGGTTACTGAAAGCCGCACTCCTGGGGGCCACAAGGAGTGGAATCTAGGGGCAGAGTGCCGGGACTCCTGGGTTCTTGCCTTGGGAAGGCTGAGCAGTGTTTGTGTCAGAACTGAAGCCCGGTGAGTCACAGAAACAAGCCATGGGGCTGGAGTGAAGACTCCAGGGTCACCCTCCGATCCTGGGAAGGGAGCTAGCTGATGAGACATGGCCTACAGTACCCACAAAGAGTCATCTCCCTCTGCCCCAGCAAGCTGTGCTCACAGCCAGCCCAGCTCGCTGCAGCTACAAAGAGCTGACAGGTGGTGTCAGTAGTGTTCAGAGTGAACATCCAGGACTGGACTGGGACTGCAGACTCCTTTCATACATCTTCTGTTCACCCTCTGCTGGCCTGGGCTGTCAATTACCAGTAATGGGACACCTTCCCCCCCCCCCAGAGACTGAACCCAGAAGTCCGGACTCCCCCCTCCCTTGCTTTGATTGCTGAATGACCCAGGTTCCCCTCATTGATTGCATGGGAGGGGCCATTACACTAGGGCTGCGTCTAGACTGGCAAGTTTTTCTACCCAGCTGTCTACACTGGCCGCTTGAATTTCCGCAAGAACACTGACTTCTACTGTCTGAAATCAGTGCTTCTTGCGGAAATACTATGCTGCTCCCGTTCGGGCAAAAGTCCTTTTGCGCAAAAGGGCCAGTGTAGACAGCTGAGATTTGTTTTGCACAAAAAAGCCCCGATGGTGAAAATGGCGATCAGGGCTTTTTTGTTCAAAAGTGTGTCTAGATTGGCATGGACGCTTTTCCGCAAAAAGTGCTTTTGTGGAAAAGTGTCTGTGCCAATCTAGACGGTCTTTTCCACAAATGCTTTTAATGAAAAACTTTTCCGTTAAAAGCATTTGCGGAAAATCATGCCAGTCTAGATGTAGCCTAGGAGGCTCCCTCTCCTCCCTGAGGACTTCTGGAGGTGCATCTAGACTGGCATGATTTAGTGCAAATACTTTAATGGAAAAGTTTTTCCGTTAACAGTATTTGCGCAAGAGAGCATCTATATTGGCAAGTGCCTTTGCGCAAAAGATTTGCTTTTGCACAAAAGCATCTGTGCCCAGTATAGACGCGCTTTTGCACAAGAAAGCTCCGATGGCCATTTTAGCCATCGGGCTTTCTTGCGCAATAAATTAAGGTGCCTGTCTACACTGGCCCTCTTGCGCAAGTATTCTTGCATAAGAGTGCTTATCCCTGAGCGAGAGCGTCAAAGTATTTGCACAAGAAGCACTGATTTCTTACATTAGAACGTCAGTGTTCTTGCACAAATTCTCATGGCCAGTGTAGACAGCTGGCAAGTTTTTGTGCAAAAGCAATTGCTTTTGCACAAAATCTTACCAGTCTAGATGCACCCCTGGAGTTGCCCCAGAGACAAAGAAAGCCTCAGAGAAGGCAGGGCTCCTGGCTAGCTAACCTCCTCTGGCCAAGAAGCACCCCTCTGCTCCAGGCAGGGAATGGGCCTTTCCCCCTGGGAGAGCCTTGAGGGCTTGTTAGAGTGAGGATGGGGACTGGGAGTCAGAACTCCTGGGTTCCAGCCTCTGCTCTGCAAGAGAAGTGGAGTCTTATCTTTGATGGTGGGCTGGGAGTCAGGACCCCAGGGTATTCCCTGCTCCAAACTCTGCCTTTCTTCTCCCAGGCTGGTTCCTAATCTTGCTGGCATCACAGCTGCTACCCCTCGCCCAGAAATGCCTGGTCAGATGCTTAGCACCAGGGGTGGGTTGAGGGGGAGGCCAGGGGACAATGGGCCCAGCTGTCTGGCTGCCTGCCAGTCCCTGGCAGTGGGATCCCAGCCTGGAGCTGGCATTTCCCTCACACAGGGGCCTTTGTCCTGTGAAGAGGAGGGGGGGAATTCTGGAGAGTGGGTGGTGGAAACACCCTCTGCAGGGAGGTGCTGGGGCATTGGCGGGGTGAGGAGGAAGGAGGCTGCAGCTGGGCAGTGAGCTTGGAGGTGTGAGCAGTGTTGAGGGGGCTATCCGCTGCTGGAGGGGACAAGCTTTGCTCTGTGTGTCCTGATGCCCCTACTAGACAGGCCAAATTCTGCTGTGGGAGGAGCACCCTGTACTTTCTTCCTGAGTGGAATTGTGAGCAAGAACTAAGAATCTGGACTCCCAGCCCCCCTGCTGTAACCACTAGACCTCACTCCCCTCCCAAGGTTTGAGCTCCCATGTAACTTGGCTGTACTAAGGGAGTAAGGAAGGCTTAGTGGCCTGCCATGGTGTGTGTGTCAAAGAATGGTAGGAATCTCATTAGAGCACCCTGTACTTTCTTCCTGAGTGGAATTGTGAGCAAGAACTAAGAATCTGGACTCCCAGCCCCCCTGCTGTAACCACTAGACCTCACTCCCCTCCCAAGGTTTGAGCTCCCATGTAACTTGGCTGTACTAAGGGAGTAAGGAAGGCTTAGTGGCCTGCCATGGTGTGTGTGTCAAAGAATGGTAGGAATCTCATTAGGGTTAATGACCAGCTGAGTTCTTTCCTTCATTATTATTATAATGCCCCCCCCCCAGAAACATGACCTCTCCCCTCCATAGAAACAGCTGGATTTTGAGCTTTGCATGGATTTGATTCCACATATGCAAGACAGTTGAGGACACACAATGCCACAGGGTGTGTACCAGTGAGAGGCAGTCACTGGGGGACGGGGTGTATGCTGGGGAACAGCTGTTTAAGAAAAGTCCTAACCAACCAGTGTCAACCAGGAGGCAGAACAAAGGCAGAGTAAACTGGGCTCTGACCTGGACACTAGGGTTCACAATCCAGCTTAGCCTATCAAACTGTTCTCATGCCTCAGGCTCTTTACTGGCCATGAAGGGCAGGTCCATGTCTGCCCTCAACTTGGAGGGGTGCAAGGAGTAGCAGGAAAATCTTGGCCACCCGCAGTTCAATGCTACAGGGCGGCAGCAGGGCAACCCAAAAGAAGGAAGCTGGCCGGAGCCATCCCCCCGAAGGCTTGCCCCAGGCCCTCTCTCCAGCTTCACCATGGCCAGTCCACAGCCAGGAGACAGAATTCACCTGGTCATGCTGGCATGACCCCAGCCACACCCTGACACATTGTCACCCTGACAGCCACACCCATATGATGTCACACTGACATGCTGTCACCACAGCAGCTACACAGATACCCCAACACACTGAAACGCTGTCACCCCAGCACCATGATACTCAAACACACGACATACTGTTACCCCAACAGCTTTACCACTATCCTGACACTGACATGCTGTCACCCCAATAGCCACAAAGACACCCCAATACACGGACACTGTCAGCTGGCATACTAACATACTATCACACTGACAACCCCACCAGTCTCCCAACTGTCATAGTGATACCATGACACTCTGACATATTGTCACCCTAACAGCCATAGAATACTCTGACAGCCACACAGATACCCTGACAGGTACACCGAAACAAAAGACAGGACTATGTAGCACTTTAAAGACTAACAAGATGGTTTATTAGGTGATGAGCTTTTATGGGCCAGACCCACTTCCTTGGATCAAATTGTGGAAGAAAATTGGCATGACCATATATACCAAAGGGATACAATCAAAAAAAGTGAACACATATAAAAAGGACAAATCAAATTTCAGAACAGAGGGGGGATGACGTCTGTGAGCTAATGATATTAGAGGTGATAATTGGGGAAGCTATCTTTGTAATGGGTACAGTAATTCGCATCTTTAGACACACTGGGCACTGTCACCTAACAGCCACACTGATACTCCAACACACTAACACACTGTCACCTTGATATTCCATCACACTAACACTTTGTCACCAATATCCTATAGCCACACCTTTACCCCAACACAAAGACACACTGACACCCCGACAGCCGCACCAACACACAGCCCCTTCCGCACACTGTCACATGCCACATCGACACAGGATCACCGACACAGTGATACAAACACACCCATCCCGCACAGGGCTGCTCGGTCTCACTCCGCCCAGATCCCGCTCTGGGGAAGCAGCTGTAAATCCAGCCTGAATTGAC